CCTCCTGCCGGCTGTGCCAGGGAGCGTCCCTGACACAGTCTCTCCCGATCTCAGTCAGGAGTTCCACCTGCCGAAGAATTTCTTTGCTTTCTTCTTTGCAGGTCCTGCACTGTGCTTGGCTTCCTTCTTCATGACCTTGTGCTCTTTGATCTCGCTGAAAAGCTCCTCACTTCCTCTCAAAAGTTCGTCCATGACAAACCATTGAAAATGATTCTCTCCAACTAGCTCTCTCCTCTGAGGTTCAAAAGCACTGAAGTCCTCGTTTGTCAATGCATCCGCTGCTCATTGCCGTCTCTCCTGACCCAGGTCAGAGTCGCATAGGCATCATACCTTCTAAGCGTCTCTGCAACCTCAATCACCAGCAATGTAACCGGGTACTTGGTCGACAACCCTTTGCGAAGAATGAAGGAGTTGCCACGATAGTCTGTAAATGCCTCCGCGTTTGTCTCAGCAGACCCACCCTTCAGCCAAAGCCTAAGGGCAACAAGCGTAGCAAGCAACTCCAACGCAGCTATGACCCTCTTTGGGTTCTTTCCCCGGAAAAACAGCCAGGGTGCAAAACTCTCCGTGACCTTGAACGAGAACCATCTGCAAGCCTTGCTGTCGGATGACTCCTCAAGCCAGCCTCCAATCCAAGCAGCATGTTCCGTCGCCTTGGCATCTGTCCAGATCCTCAGCGTGCTGCCACCCTGGAACACTGGGCGCTTGACTGCTTCCATGCGGCCACCTTCTTTGAGCCTCTTTGCAATCCAACTCAGAATGAACTGTATTGCCCAAGGGATTGTCAATGCACCCCGGTTTGACTGCATTGCTGATGCCCAGGCGTACAGCGGGCCTAACAATGGCCTCTCCCACGGAAGTGCAAGAGCCCAAACCTGCAGCGAACTCCCTGTAGGTGACTTCTTTCCGCAGCCTCAGCGACCTGATCCACCCCAGCACCCATTCAGTCCTCTTGACAGACAGCCCCATTGCAAAGCTGCGGTAATAGGTGGTCAGGCCAATCCACTCCGTTGTCAAACCACCCCTTTGCTTCGCCCATTTGAACGGGGCTCCAAGTGCTGCGATGAGCGCATAGGCAAGGACACCTCCGACTCGCCCTTCACGCCCAACTGTCAACACCTCCAGGTCGTCTGCATACAACAACATGTCATTCGGGAAACCCTCCCCGAGGACCCAATACACTAGTCTCATCAGAGCCGCACTCAGCCGCGCCCACCAGTACGGAGTTGAAGCTATCCCAAAAGTCCCAACTTTGTTCACATAGACAATGTTCGAACCTGAGGACGCCTTGCATGCCAAGAAGCCCTGCTCCTCCACTGCATACTTGAAGCGCCTGTGCGCCTTGGCGAAGTCTCCCACAAGGGACAGAACTGTCTTCTGCTCTGCCTCATACTCCTCCAGCAGGGTCCGCTTCTCCCGAGGCCCCGGCATTCTGACCTTGTCTCTGCAGCGAATCTTGTGGTTCACCATGACACCGTGTGTGCCGTCATGTATCACCCGCTTCTTGCCCGTCACCTCATCCTCAACCAAGACTGCTAGTGCCGCTACAGCCCGGTCCTCACCATATGTAGCAACAAAAGTCTCCTCGCCCATCTTGGTCATCAGACCCTCCGCAACTTCTTGCTCCAGGTGCTCTGTGAGGTATTTCTCATGCTCTGCAGCTGACACGTAGTTCTCCTTCTGCCAGACAGCACTGCTCCAATTCTCACTCTCCAGGTTCCAACGAAGCTGCTCCTCGAAGATCTCAGGCGTACGAGGCAATTGATTCAAGATGCCCAGTGGCAAACCCACCTTGGCCTGCTCCTAAGAAGGCCCAGTCAGGATCACCTGCCTTCTCCAACACCCCTCTCATGAGGTCCAAGAAAAATGGCTGACCCTCTTCCGGACAATGTTGCATTGCAATGCCCAAATTATCTGCCAGGAGACACCTAACCCTCGCCAGGAACTCCTCATCTCGAACCAAGCTGAATGCATTGCCACCTTTTGCCATCTTGAATGCCTCCTTCTCGACCTCCGACAAGCTTCCCAACTTCCGGACCGCCTCCTGCCGTAGTTGAAGCCTCAACTTGACCCACTCCTCGCCTTGCAAGAGTTTCCTCTCGCTCGAAGCCCACCTCCCCGGAGAAGCCAGCCCGCCTCCATCATGGAAGGGGGCCTCCAATCCCTTCCACCTACATGACCGAGGTGGACCTCTACCGCCGGCAACAATCGGGTTCATGGGGTCTACCTCCACCTTCTCCTGCTGCACGTTGTGACGTTTCTCCGCAGGTCCCGGATCATCTTCCGGTTTCCTCTTCTTCTGCACCTCTGAACCTCTGCAAAATTCACTCCCCCCTGAACACTCTCAGCGGTCCATTTGCAGAGTGCTGATGGTCAAGCTGCTGAGTGCGCTGTCTTGAACACCCCATTCTCCTTGCCAATCAGAGGGGCGCCCCCTGGTTGTTTCGGCAAGGGCCGACGTACCAGCCTTCTGCATCAAACTGTGGCGGTCCTGAATGCATTGCTGGATGCAATGGGGCAAAGATCCTCATCAAAAACCTTGTAGGTTTCGGTGAAGCTGTACCAAACTGTGACTGAGCAAAAACAACTGTTTCAACACCATCCAATGCTAAAAGCTCCTGGAACTGCCAAAACTGCCACATTGATGCGGGTTGATGGCCTGCAATCCTTGCATTGTTTGCCCTGCCCAAATCCTCAGGTTGCTCCATGAGCCCCACCGAATACCTATTGCATGCAAACTGGCGTTTCAATGCTTCAAACGAGAAATCAGCCAAGATTGTTCCAAATTCTGCCTTGTGAAAACGCTCCCCCTTGTTCCATGGAAAACCTCTCGGGTAGGACGAGCTCCTCAGTGGGAAAGGTCCCAAATCATTTGCCCACACAGCCCTTGAAAAAGTAGAACAGGGTGGAGTAACAATGACTGCATAGAAGATACCTTTGGCAATCAACTGCAACCATTTCTTCTGTACTGAAGGTATTGCGAAATCCGACTTGCGATCGGACTGGATGTCCAGTTCTGTGATCACCACATGAACACCCTTTCGTTGCGCCAGCCTCCGGAGGAACCCCGCAACCGAATTGCTCCCTGTTGTGTCCGGAGCCACTGCCTCCTTGCGATTCTTTGGATTGCACTCGTAGAGAGGGCGGCGATCACTGTAGCATGCAAATCCCGCAGACATGTTTGTATTTGCATTTGCTGCTTTTGCATTTCTCCCCAGGCGTGTTGTACCTGAAGCAAATCATCTCACCGTCCGGGTGTGGGTTGCACAATGTGGATTGCTACCTTTGCCCTTGCCCTTCTTGGACTTGCCTTTTTCCTTGCCCTTGCCACCCTTCTCAACTGTTGGCCACTTCGCTTGCGGCTGCTCTCGCCATGGTGGTGTCGGTCTCTTTGCATACAAGGCCAAGGGCGTGGTGAAGTTCCTCTCCTTGATCGTGGCATCCTTCCATGCCATCTTGAGTGCAACTGTAAGTGGTTTGCCCTCCGTGTTCGTGATCTTCACGGCCTGCTTCCTGATTGCTCGTTCATAAGCAATGACAAGTTTCCACGGTGGAGAGGCAAAGGTCTGACCTTCAGCGTCCTTGGCGCTCAGGCCAAATACATAGTCCCCCAACAAATAGTCCTTATATTGTTCAACTGTGTCCTCCCAAGCGCCTTGAAGCTCATGCCTATTGGAATGCTTCAGCGAGATCATAACCATTGCGTTCTTCCAGATCGATAGCCGGCGTCGAAGTTCTTCAGCGTTCGTCGGTTCCTCCACTTTCGTAGAGCCTCTGCGCATGGCCAATCGGCCCTTGGAGTCCCAAATAGGCACCACAGAATCAGGCTCAAGTTCTTCTTTGGACACAACTTCTGTAAGCTCTTCAGCCCGGTATTCACCATGTTCAACCTCTGCCAACTTCTTTTCAATGTATTCCTTGGATGGATAAATTTTGTCCTCCAGGTGCCCGTAGCGCTTCTCTAATGCCGAGCGCATAGCCGCCCATTCCCCCGCCACCACCGGCCTAGACCACTGCAGCGTGTCGTACTCCGCGTCGACCTCGGCGGCCCGCTGACTCCTCGTCTTGGCGTTGATGAAAGCGCAGGTGATCGCTGCCACCTGCACTCTCTCCTCCAAGCTCCTGCTTGCATCCAACTCCCAATGATCCTTGAGGACCAGCGCCAAATCATCCCTATCTTTTGCGAAGTTCGACAGCATCTCAAGCGTCGTGACCCCGTGGTGGAAAAAGAGCTTCTGGTTGTCCAAACTCACCTCATGCCTCGACAGCAGGTACTTGATATCTGTACCTGCTGCCTCCAGGGCTTTCGCCCCCTCATCATCCGTGATCGCCGCGCGCGGCATGACGAGCTCCCGGCCCCCCACGCCACGCCCCGCTAATTGAACCGAGCAACAATGCAGCATGCGATGCCGCCCGTGACACAGCGGTGTCAATCGTGCATGCTATGCACATGTTCAAACACATGCGATGTGACTGAACTACACGGCCCTGAGGTGCGACCCCGCCTCTCCGTCCACTGGCTCTGCCCTTGCACCTGCTGTGCACCGCCCCAGGGCCTGAGCGGCTCGCCCAGTCCGGGTTTACCTCTACCGCCTACCAGTGTCCGTCCCCAGGTGCGACCTGGGTTTTCCTAATGCAGTCGCTGCTGCACCCTCCCGCCCCCCAAGTGCGACTCAGGGGATCCCGGAACCTCCACCCGTCCGTCTGCGCCCCATGCAACCCTTTTAGTCACTGAGACCCAGCTCATCCTGGGAGTCACTTGTGGACTCACTCAACTGCTCGTCCCCGCCACTCCAACACAATTTGCATCGAAGTGTGTACTCTTCAGGTTCCGGAAGGTCTTGATGCGTCTCTGCCCTTACGAAGAATCTCTTCTTCGCCATCCAGCACCCTTTGCTGCCGAGCCGATGTAGTGTGCCCTGCCCTGCACGTCTGTAGACGACGACGTAGCCACCTTCTCTTTCCTCCTCCAATGCCTCACTCATCTTCCTCTTCTTGGGATCCTTCTCCACTTGGGTGCCACCATCCTTCTCGCTCTGCGAGTCCCCATATATTGTGGTATCATCATCAGACACCATCACTGGCTTACCCTTGAGGCCCTTTGCCCCGATCTTCTCCTTCCAGGCCTCCACAACGTCGTTCGCCTGATCTTCAGGCACTGTCCACTTCTCATGCAGCCACACCGTCAGCTCATCCATGATGGCTCCCTCGTCAAGCTCCTCGTATGCAGCCTCACTCCGTAGTACTGCAACTATCTTCTTGTGCATCTTCTTGACGATCGAATTGTATGTCCTGACATATACGTCGGAACCTTCAGGGCACCACCTCCCCAGAAGGTCCCTGTCGGACTTCTCAACACCCAACGCTGCCAGGCCGCTAGGCAATGTCGCTCTTTCGCTATGCTCCGACCAGAACCGCTCCCACCCCGAGGGGATGAGAGGCCCTTTGTAGCCCTCCAGCAGCGAAAGCACTCTGGAGCTCCCAGCAACCGCCTCCGCATAGGAGACATGTGACGATCCATATGCCGACCCGTAGAAACAACCCTCCGGGAAGACATAGACGCGGTCTCTTGGCATCTGCAGCTTCACAAGATCGAAGCCAACTGCCAACCAGTCATCATGCACCACATATGCATCCCTTGCAATATAAATTGGCAGCTCACGCACCCGCTTCCCAGCGCCTGTCGTCTTCGATTGATGCATCATCCCAATCAACTGGCCATCGTAGTACCTGATTTCGGATGTCTTCAAGTGGGCTGCATCATCAAACCGCATGGAAGCCCACATCTTTATGAGCTTGAACCATGCACACACTCGAACCTCGAAGGGGACAGCGCTGTCAAGGTCTCCATTGGCGCAATGAAGCACCCCAGCCAACGAGGCGCTCGCCTGACTGGGGGGGCCTTCTGTTCCAGCTTGCGCGTCAGCTCCTTCATCACCATCTGAGGGAAATACTGGTTCATCAGCTGATCCTCTTCTGCTGTGCCAGCTGTCTTCTCAAACCATGCCACTGCCGAACTCACCGACAACGGAATTGACGGCCCCATGCCATCCTCCTCCCTGGCGTACATGTAGTCTACCAAGGTCACGCTGTCTGGACGCTTTCCGGGCTTTCCCATCGCGTCTGACCACTCTCTGAACCGCTCCCAGGAAGCCAAGTATCTTCGCACCGTTGACATGCGGTACTTCCCGATGCGCGCTTCCTTCGCTCTGGTAGGGTTCATGGTCTTCTTCATCTCGTCCAGCACCGGTGCTTTGTAACGCACCAATTCATCTACCAGCTTGTCCATGATCTTGTCCGTCACCTCCTCCTCGGCTGCCACACGGCCACTCCTTAGCCGGACTGTTCTCCCCAATGTGCCCCTCTTAGGCATCGTCGGGAGGATCACCTGGACATCTGGAGGCTTGAGGGTCCTCTTCTTCTCTTTTTCCATCGCCACCCTGGCATCCAACAAGTTCTGCATGGACCTTGTTGGTGATGTCCCTGTCAAACGTTCATCCAGGTCTGCCATCTGTACTGCCTCGCGGACTTGACCCATGATGAAGGCAGTGTGCCAGGGCCGATGCTCTACACCCAGTCGGTCCGTCAACTGCCTTGCCAAAACCTGCTCTGAGCCATGGCTTACAGCTAGCGTCCCACCGACTAAACCCAACTCACTCAGGAGGTTGAGGATCCTGGCGGTCTCCTCAGGGTCGGGGGCACAAGTGCCCCCTTCCATACCTCCCAAGCTGAAAAACACCTACCCTCGAGCCTCCAAGCGGTTGTGTGAAATTCTGTCATGACATGTCATGAGTGATTTCTTTGCTTCCATGGTGGTTTTCATGCTACTTTCCCCCAAACAGGTTTCCCTCCGCTCTGCAGCCGCTGATCGCCGCTTTCACTTGAGCGTTTTGCCAAACACTTGTTCAACAATACTGTTGCGCTGACTCATGCGCCTTTCCGTTCTCTTACCTTCCTTTTCGACTTGGGAACTGAGCTAACTGAAAACCAATGTCAGAGTGTGACACGCTCAGCCGTCCCACTTGGGTGCTGGGTGTGATCCTCCGCAAGGAGGCGCCGTTCTCATTCCGGAATTCGTGTAACTGACTCCTCGTTTCCACCATTCGTTGGATTTTCCTAAATTAATTTCCTTTTCACCACTGGATTAACTGCTCCAATAGCCGCCGGGCTTGTACGGAGAATGAACCCAAACGCGGTTTCTACCCCAAACACCCCAACCCCTCCCACCCACTAATTAGGGTAACAGAGGGAAATGGTACTCGGCACACTTGTGTGTCGGTGCCTTTCCCTCTGTTGTCCCTTTGTCTTCTCTACCCGGGCGGTCTAAGACTAAAGTCCCGCTACCTAACTATTGCATTTAATTCACTTCCGCTAAGTAATCAGTATTTCTAGGGTGCTAAGTATTCATACAGTTGTCCCTCTTCACTTGGTTCCTTTTCATCGGCAACCACACACACCTTTGTCTGTCTTGTCCTTCTCACCTTCATCTGTCCCTTTTGCGTGCACATGCGCCTACCTCCTTTCCGGGCAGGATGGAGGTCACACATGCCTCCCTTCGGGGAGGCGTGTGTGTGTAACCCTTGGAGTCATAGGGATCCTTCTGGATTTGCTTAGTTTTTCACAGCAGGGGGGTAGTGCACGACTGACAGACACTACCCAACGAAGACACTGTCAGCTCGTGGTGAAGCAATGTGGGACGCCACATTGTGTACCTGCAAATTTTCCAATTTTCTGCATGGCGTGAGGCTAAGCCAAGAACCTCGAAACTTTGATGTTTTCTTTGAACTGCAGTTGCGAGCGGCACGTCGTCAACCTGTTCGTCCGTCGTCCGTTCTTTTCCTTTTGGGCCCTACTTCCTCTTGAAGACCTCCAGGATCCAGTGGTTCGTACATGTACCCTTAGGAAATGGAACCCTAGGCCGGCGTGTGGCACCGCATTCAGTTCCGTACACAATATCTCAAGTGTGTGTGTGTGTGTGTCAAACCCTGTCCCTAAGGGCTCTTCACCTCGGAATCAGCAGGGGGATCAGGCTTCCAGTGACTAACCTGATCCAACAAAGCTGAGTCACTGGAAGGGAAGTGGTTGAGGACGCTCAACCATGTACCTGCATCGTGATACAACTCCAATCTTCGCCGCTTTTCTTTGCTTCCCTGGTGGTTTTCATGCTACTTTCCCCCAAACAGGTTTCCCTCCGCTCTGCAGCCGCTGATCGCCGCTTTCACTTGAGCGTTTTGCCAAACACTTGTTCAACAATACTGTTGCGCTGACTCATGCGCCTTTCCGTTCTCTCACCTTCCTTCTCGACTTGGGAACTGAGCTAACTGAAAACCAATGTCAGAGTACCCTTGGAGTCACAGGGATTCCGTCGAACTTGTTTTTTATCAGCAGGGGGGCAACCTCGTGAGCATAGCTGGTTGCCTAACGAAGAGGGCTACGCCACGACTGATATGGCGTCTGATCAACTCCACGTACCTGCTTCTTTTTGAACTGTTGACTTCTCAGGAATATGGTTACCTAGGTTGCCGTGTGGCGAGTGGCATTCAGTTCAGTACGCAATTCCATAAGGGTGTCTAGAGCCCAGGGTGAGCTCGAGGAGTGCCCCCTGTGGACCCGTCGAACGGGGGGTTTTCCAACGTATCCCCTGCCCAGAGCAGTCCGCAGCGGACGGAGTAAAAGGCTTGAGCCAAAGTTATTTGCCAAGAATTGATGCATTGTTGAAAATGAGTAGGCTCAATGCCAGAACGTGACCGCAGCGGTCCAAGCAGGCTTAACGCCACAAGGTGGTCACAGCGACCGAAGCCTTTCTTAGGTTCATTGGAACCTGTCGTTACCTTAGGTGCACACACAGCACGCACATTTTAAACTTCCTAGGTCGCTCAATGAGGTCTGTCTTCATTGGTTCCCGGCCCCTCCATTTCGTTCCCTTTTTCATCCTTTCCCCTTCTCACACACTTTCTTTCCTCCTTTCGCTTCATGTCTTTCCCTGCTTCATGTCCTGTCATCTCACTCCTTTCCTTCTCGCCCGCACATCGCTCTGGGCCTTAGTCCAGGTTCTGACAATGAGGTATGGTTCACCGTTTGTCCCTGTGCATTTGGTTCCCTTTTCATTGCAACCACCTACACTTTTGTCCCGTCTGTCCTCTTTCTCATGTTTTCATATGTTTGTCCACGTTGCGCGCACAGGGATTCCGTGGAATTTGCTCTTTATCAGCAGAGGGGCAACCTCGTGAGCATAGCTGGTTGCCCAACGAAGAGGGCTATGCCACGACTGATGTGGAGTCTGATCAACTCCACGTACCTGCTTCTTTTTGAACTGTTGACTTCTCAGGAATATGGTTACCTAGGTTGCCGTGCGGCGAGTGGCATTCAGTTCAGTACGCAATTCCATAAGTGTGTGTGTGTGCCTCTGTGCCCCTGTGTATGCCTGTGTATGCCTGTGTATGCCTGTGTGTGACTGTGTGTGACTGTGTGTGACTGTGTGTGACTGTGTGTGACTGTGTGTACGCGCGTGCGACGCACAAGAAAACGGCTACCAGTGGAAAACACGCACAGCTTGTTGGGGCAAAAATGGTTGACTCTACTAGGAAAAAATCTGGGATTTGTTGTAAGTCATCCTACAAGAAGCCCAGCAAGCCACCAACATCAGCGTGTCTTTTTGGATCTTCTCACTGGCACGTCAGTCTCACAGGCCCGGAAATGGTTCGGGTAGGACTTGTGGGTGGGTTGTCCGCTCACTCTTCGGACAGCCTCCTTGAAATTGCCAGTGGCAACACGGAGAATCAAGTTCTCAGAGCAGCCCCGATCCTGCTTCCTTTGAAGATCACTCAAGGCGTCACACCCAACACACAGATTGAGTCATTTCAGAGTTGTCCTTGGCATCGAGCTTAACACCTCGCCTCTATCCATATATCTGAGTGCTGAAATTAACACCCCGGATTCTACTTGCAAAATGATAGAAAATGGACGTCGGAGCCCCAACAAGCATACATGCAGGAACATATTTCAATAACGTGTACTGCTTGGACACCCACTTCGGTTCACCCAGTCGGGAAAGAATTAGATCCCACGAATTGTCGATCCAAGAATGGGGGGGTGCCACTGCCTCAATTTTGCACCCTCTGATGGATTTCTCCCTCCCCCTGGTCCGGGTGTGAGTCTCAAGGAATCATCATCTCAAGCCGAGGTGCGCTCACCCCCAACCCCAAACAAAAATAACAATCCTCCTATCGCGAGAGATTACACTGTTAAAGTCAGGAAGGACGCCATCAACCGCTCGGAATTGACAACAGCGTGCTTTTTAGTAACCGGCTTGTCAAACTCATGTAAGAACATGTAAAAAGAAGGTCTGAATGCCATCAGCACGCTGCCTGGTTTGACTCGGTTGTCCAGAGGGTGGACTTTGCTCAAGGTGATCTGATTTCAGCAGACGGGGGTTTAAAGGTCACCTCACGAATTAGCAAGGCTGCTTAGCAGCAGGCGCCGCGATCATTTCCGCGGAAAAAGAAGCTGGGAGAACGCACCACCTTTATGTTGCCTTCCCCTGATTAGGTCTTTTCTCCCAAAGTGGTCACGCCTCAAGCTCTATGATTCACAGAAGGTATGGTAAAACCCGTGATAAACAAGAGCCTGCAAGGCTCGTGTCGTCAGCGATACAAACCCAAGAGGCTGAGCCTGTTCCATGACATGGCCTGTTACCTCACATGGCAAACAAACTCGGATGATGCACTTCTCGGTTATCGGTTTGAAGCCGTGATTGCAGCACCTCCTTTTTCAAAGGAAGCGACTGGAAACGTTGCTAGCTAGAGGTCGATCGAGCTTGGTTGTAAAACCTTTGCTGTCTCAGACACGCAACAGACTGAGTCATCGGCAGAACAAGAAAGCTTGGGGGCTGCCCAAAGAATTATAGGAGAGAGTTCTGTAGCAAATCCCTGAGCAGGTTCCGGAGCAGGTCAGAGGAACCCCGGAGCAGGTTTCGGAGCAGGTCCAAAGCAGGCCAGGCCATTAATCACAACCCAGGTAAAGCGCCTGTGTCCAAAGCCGAACCCTAGACTTGCTATGACTTGGCGTGGGCTTGACAGACGGCTAGATGGCTAGCACATCCCTCAACGAAACAACGGTGTCTAAGGCAGTGCACAAGACTCATGTAAAACTAGATCGTCGGCTTACACAACCATCCGTGCCAAAGAAGCGGCAAGGAACTAACTGAATTGTCTTGCGTTTTGGAACGTGTAGCTTTTTCCGCTGTCTTTTTGAGGTCCCGCAACGATGTTTTCACATAATTGTCACTGAGGCAGCCGCAGCATCCACCAATAAACCGCAACACAATGCACACGAGGTTGGTCAAGGAGTTTGAATCTCTATTAAAGTGGGTAGTGCCAGCACTGCTTATGACGCTTTTCTGTATCAGCCTGTCATATAGAGCAAAACATGTGCAAAGGTCAAACGCTTCGGCTAATTCAACGCTGTCTGTGTTTCTGGAAAGCAACATTGAATAAATTAAGATATAAAAGGAAGCTCTGCATCCGGAGTTGAGCTCAACACTTCAGCCATATCATATCTGTCATGGGGGGGCCTCGTTATGTTTCATGCTCTTTGCCTTTTGGTCTTTGTGGAGGTCCCTCTTGAAAACCGCAGTTCTGGGCACAACATCCACAGATGTTATTGATCGACCTCGTCTTTCCGCTGGCCCATGGCGGCATGCTGGTGGACCTTCAATGCAAACAGACTCTCTTCGTTCAATAAGCACGGAAATCTGACAAGCTTTGTTTGATAGGAGCCCCTGCGGCCCCTCCAGATCACTTCCGTGATTCTTTTGTTCGAGTTGATCATGTCGACCGGTCCACCAGTCCACCTCCTAAACATGGAAGAAGTAAACAGTTGAACATCACCCACAGAATATGCGTCGGTGGGACCCCCCGACCGGAGTGATGTCACGGTCTCCGGTCGCGTCCCCGCATGGGCTTGGCTTTAGCCGAACCAGCCGAAGAAAATGGACGAAAAATTAAGGATCGTCTTGCAAGTCGGACTGCTATGGTGTTGGGGGCTTGAGGCTCCCCTTGGATGTATTCCAGGTGTGTAGCACCACCGTCTCAGGGTCCTGCCATGCGGACGAAGACGTGGAAGTGGCATTGGTGGCAGGTGTTTAGACATGGTTATGTCTCACATTTGCCCAGACAACAAGAAACTTCAAGTTGTCAATCGTGGGACATTGCCTGGCACCTCGCCAATGAACCTTGGGTGTATCTCCGCGTGCTTCCTCCTTCCTAGATTGCAAGCATTATACACATATATATATATAACCAACTAAGTTGTTGGTGGAGCGCATCCCAATCTTGAGACGAAACACTGTCATACTGCCATGAGACACAAATCAGTACCTTGGTAATCCCATCTTGCACGTGGCACCCATCCCCAAGCCGCCTTGGGCTGCTCAGAGCCCACTGAAGAAGCCCTACTCCCAGCGCTGCTTCGTGAGGAGAACATGGGGGCAGCAAGTTCCTGACGTTAGCGAGTGGAGTCTTGCCGTTGATGCGCGCGTTGGCAAGTGAGACCACTTCGGACTTCGGGGAAGAACATGAGCGCGAAGCAAGAACGGTGTGCAGCAAAGTTTGTGCGGGAAACATGGCTAAGAAAGTGTCTGTCACCCATGTTGTGTCTATATAAAAGCAAATGAAAACCCGACGATCACGGGTGTCTTCACAGTGAGAAAGAGTGGCGATGCTCGACACAGGGAGGTCCCTGTGAAGAACACTGAGGACCTAAAGGACCTAGTATATAACAAGAAGCTACTAGGTTGGAGGCCATCGCTAGTAGGTTGGAGGTCATCGCTATTTGGTTGAAGGCCATTACTACTAGAAGCAAGAAGCTACCCTCAAAAGGAACTCGTCGGCTCCTCCACCAAGGACTCTAAGGTCTCCTCGAGAAACGGGAAGACCGAAGGTCTCCACGGGTGCTAAAGGTTCTCCGGTCTTGGGAAGACCATCACTCTCCATTGCGACGATTGCCCTCTCTTACTGAACTTGCACAAGCCACAATGGACAACCCACAATGGACAAGCCACAATGGATATTAGAAGCCGTTTTCTGATGACAGTGATGACAAAACTAGCATGGACTGCAGCAACGACGAGCGCGGCCGGACCGAGCGGCTGATCGAACAGTGACCGGTCCATCCCGAACAGCGGAGCTAGGACGCGGTGCTTCGTGTGAGATTTGAGTATAGATCTGGATATACTCCTCAAGATGTTTTGTTTGGTGATGCTCTTCACCTATGGAACCGCATCCTTCCGCTCCAGAGGTACGCGATCATTTAAACGACTCCTTCAGCCCGCTTTTCCAGCCTTCAACGTCTGCAGCTCAACCTCTACGTGCGTCTGGAACTTACCGAAATTCCTCGGCCAGGCACGCACCATCTTCCAAAAACACCAGGTACTATCCGATAGCTCCTGGAGGCCTTTGTAGCAATTACATGTATTGATCCGATCATCCATGCCCAGAGCTTCATTGACCTGCGTCTTGTGCTTTGTTTTGCAAAATCACCTGCTGTTTTATTGTTTTTTCCCCACCCAAGTCTCTGGACCGTGGAAAAACCCACCCAACAGGCACCCCCTTCCGTCTCGACCGGCTGCTCGCTTCGACCGTGACCTCCCCCGTTCACTGGTCCATCGAGAATGAGTCCGGTCCGAAGTCATCTCGTTGCCGGAACCGGTGACCAAAGCCCCGTGAGTTGCTGAGCTGAAAGCGTCTTTGATGGTTGCAGCGCGTGAAATGTCTGGAGCCTCCATGTTTAAGCACTTCTAACGTGGCCAAGATGGATGTCCATAGCAACCTGAATTGATGGGCGGCCTTCACAAGCCTCAGTGCCTTTGGCTAACCAGCAGCACTGGACCGGATCATGTGGGACACTGGACCGGTATTCTCAGGCAGAGCTCACCACGGCGGCATAAGGTTTTGCTTGTGGTTTGGGTTTAGCCTGTACATAAGGTATGGATCATGTGGGCATTCAATTTAAGCTCTGGTGATTCTGGTGAAAGGGGCAAGTCTTTTCACCACACCTTGCACACACAAGGTCATAAGGGTTCTTGACTGCCTGACAAACCTTGGGACCTGCACAAAGTCGAGGCAGAAGGAATTGAGTGTGAGCCTTAGAAGTCATTCTGAAATCGATTATCTGACTCGAACATCCTTGGAACACTCACATCGTGGTTGGAAAACTCAGCGGCTGAATTGAGAAAATGCCTGTCACTTTGTGTTAAGCAAGTGTTCCTTAAATAGTTAGGCTGCAATTAAGAAAACAAGCTTTAAAGACACTGTATATCTAGTTGCGCGAATCAGTGTACTCCTCCTTCTCCTCCTCCTCCTCCACCACCTCAACCTCCACCTCCACCTCCTCCACCTCCTCCTCCTCCTGCTCCTTCTCCTGCTCCACCTCCACCTCCACCTCCACCTCCTCCTCCTTCTCCTTCTCCTTCTCCTCCACCTCCTCCTCCTCCTGCTCCTTCTCCTTCTCCGTCTCCTTCTCCTTCTCCTTCTACTACTCCTTACTTCTCCTGCTACTCCTGCTGCTGCTATATCCTCTGCAACACTGGGGAAGAGGCCTGACAAATAGAACAGACCTCGTTGTAACCGACCAATGCAAACCCCGCAGAGACGGCTCGTGGTCTGAAGGTTCCAGGCCCACGGAGGCAATCTGGTTGTCTATTTCACACCCATGAAGTCCAACTGAACGGATGGGCTTATTCTAAAGGAAAAGCTAGCGTGAACACAATGTGTTCAACAATGTGTTCTGTTCTTTTTTCGCTGATTCGCACAAATAGAAAAACTTTGAGTACAGCTCTCTCTGCATTTAAGCTAGTTAGCTCGCATCTAAGGAAAGTTTGTCTAAAGTAAAGTTGATTAAGCCGATTAGCCTGGATTTGAGGAAATGTTGATCTGAGATTCTGACATATTTATTCTTTTAAAAACAAAAAAATATATATATATATATTTAAAGACTCGCACCCTTTGTTTTTCACCCGCGCATGCAGTTGTGTGTC